AATGGATTTTGCTCATTTTTGGTATGTGAATGAATAAGGACTGGCCCCAAAACATATCACAGGGGTTTTGATATTTTTGTTTAAATTATGCAAATTAGGTAGGTTTTGGCAATTTTACTATGCATTTCATTGTGTGCCTACGGTCACCGATAACTCAAGAACGTCGTCCGTCCGTTCGTCAGTCCGTCCGTCAATATTTGGTTACGGTCAACAATAACTCAGGAACCGTTTGATCCACATGTTTCAAATTGGTCACAATTGTTACTCCTATGGGAGAGATGTGAACGTCCTATTTTGGAGCACGCCAGTTGACCTAGTTTCTAGCCACAACCACTTTTTGGCGAAAATCGAAATGGCCATAAGTCAGTACAGGTTCAACAGATTTTGCTCATTTTTGGTATGTGAATGAATAAGGACTGGCCCCAAAACATATCACAGGGGTTTTGATATTTTTTTAGAAATTATGCAAATTACGTAGATTTTGGCAATTCCACTATGCATTTCAGTGTCTTCTTACGGTCAACGCCATCAGATTGTATGCCAACAGATCTGAAACATTTATTTTCACAGGTGTTCACTAACACAGGTTTAAATGTATATAGCTGTCCGTTCTATACAAGCGTTTACTAACACAGGTTTAAATGTATGTAGCTGACCGTTCTATACAAGTGTTCACTAACACAGGTTTAAATGTATATAGCTGACCGTTCTATACAAGTGTTTACTAACACAGGTTTAAATGTATATAGCTGACCGTTCTATACAAGCGTTTACTAACACAGGTTTAAATGTATATAGCTGACCGTTCTATACAAGTGTTTACTAACACAGGTTTAAATGTATGTAGCTGACCGTTCTATACAAGTGTTCTACTAACACAGGTTTAAATGTATGTAGCTGACCGTTCTATACAAGTGTTTACTAACACAGGTTTAAATGTATATAGCTGACCGTTCTATACAAGTGTTTACTAACACAGGTTTAAATGTATATAGCTGTCCGTTCTATACAAGTGTTTAGTAACACAGGTTTAAATGTATGTAGCTGACCGTTCTATACAGGTGTTCACTAACACAGGTTTAAATGTATATAGCTGACCGTTCTATACAGGTGTTCACTAACACAGGTTTAAATGTATATACTAGCTGTCCATTCTATACAGGCGTTTAGTAACACAAGTTTTATCGTATATAGCTGACCGTTCTATACAGGTGTTCACTAACACAGGTTTAAATGTATATACTAGCTGTCCATTCTATACAGGTGTTTAGTAACACAAGTTTTATCGTATATAGCTGACCGTTCTATACAGGTGTTTAGTAACACAAGTTTTATCGTATATAGCTGACCGTTCTATACAGGTGTTCACTAACTATTGTACCCGACACGTAATCATTCACGCGTTCTTGCTGCTCTCTGCAGAACATCGTGCGTGACTTTGCGGCGCGCTGTCAGGGCATCATCCAGGAGGCTGCGCGTTGGGCTCCGACGGCGACGCACGCGCACCTGCAGGAGTATCTCAACCGCCTCGACAACGACGGCACGGGTCTGAGCCAGCACAGCGGCCTGGCGCTCGCCACCGAGAGCGTGCTGCAGTTCGCCGGCTTCAACAGGAACGCGGCGCCCTACGAGAAGGTGAGGTAGCTAGTTTGTGTGGGTGGGGGGTACGCGTGTTTGTACGTGTGTGTGTGCGTGTGTGTGTGTGTGCGCGTGTGTGCGTGTGTGCGTGTGTGCGTGCGTGCGTGCGTGCGTGCGTGTGTGCGTGCATGCGTGCATGTGCACGCACGTTTGTGCAGGGGGTGGGGGGTATTTGAAGCTAGTTGGCTATATTTAAAGGCTGGTATCCTATTGCCACTGTTATCTTCACTACCATTCTCAGCATCATCACCATCATCATCATCAAAATCACCGTCATCATCATCAGCCCTCGTTATAACACCCAGCGATACCTTCGACAGAGTGTCACGCTGGAGCGGCGTCCATCCTGCGTCACCAAAGACTCGTCACGCTTCGTCGCAGCCCTGTCGCTGCGCAGCCGATACTGCGGAGAGCTGGCAGGCATGAGGCAAGCGTACGCGGCCTGCGGTAAACAGGACTCAGACCTTGCCGCACTACTGTGCAGTGAACTCGATCAGGCCTGTCAGGATCAAGGTAGGTGATGGTGATAGGTAGGAGATAGCTCTAACGGTATAGCCTCTTCGCTCTTGCTACAGTTGGTGGGAGCGAAGGAGCTACACCGGTAGAGCTGGAGAAAGAGTGCCACCAAGTCTGGCAGATACCGAGATGAAATCTTCTGTTATGTAACTAGCCAGTCGAGAGCAATGTAAGAGAGATTTGCATAGTTCACATAGTTATAGACAGATCGTGGTGAAACGAAGTATGCCTTTAGTTTACAGCAAAGCTCAACTAAGACAAGCATCCCAGAAACTATCATCGTTTTGTGCTTGCAAGCCTTCTGTCAATAATGATGTTACCTGTCCATTCGTTTATTCTGGTCGCACTGTCATGTAGCCAAAGCCATACTCATGATCAGATATTATCTTCAGATGGAGAGAAATTCAAGTCGTCTATATTTCGCATCTGCGCACTGCTCATCGCTTGCACGGATCACGACCGACAGCTTCTGCACGCCCTCTGCTGGGCACCAGTGAAACTATTCGCAGAGACTGCAATGGAGTCAACGATCGCCTGCTGGGAGTGGCTGCTTGCGGCGCGACCTCAGTTTGAACTTCAGGTAGCGTATCCCGTTTCACTTCATGTGTTGTTTGTGGTAGGCGCAATGCATGTATGTGTCTGTCTGCGTAGCCTGTTATCTCCCCATGAAGGGAAAACGAAATTAATTCATGCCACTCTCTCACCTGTTACATATTTGGTTTCTGTGTGAATCCATCTTGGTTTTTTCACCCATTTCTATTCATGTGCGTGAGAAGATTGTTATACAGCATACTCTTCAAAAGGCTGTATCGGAATATCACATTCGCTGTTTGCTTGATAGCACTGAAGTAAGAATCATCTTTAATCCAATTTTATGTTTTGTTTACATTTCGATTTTATACTGGGATTGTGACCCATGCAGCAGAAAATCTTATGCGTTAGCAACATTCCAGCATCTCGGTTGCCATGGTTACAGTTGCTAGGGGAAATGGCGAGTGCGTGGCAGATGACCATAGAGCTGAGGCTGGGCATGTTCTCAGTGGACAAGGAGGAGCCAAGTCCTCTGGCAGCACACGAAGGAGTCTCCCTAAAGCCAGACCCCCCTTACGTTGCGCCACACATCCTGTGGACTAAGGTAATATTAGAATCGCAGTAGGTATGACGTAGGGTCAAAGAACCTATCTTATTAAGTGTAAAATAATACTTGTAATCTTTCTCCTACAATGGGGGAGGGAGAGTTAGGTTGCTGGGAAATGCCTCACTGGGGAAGATTCCATGGTTGGTGAAGATAATAAAGTTGGTGGGAAGCTTGGGGTTTAGTGTGTAAAGCTGTTTATCAGCGTTTGTCGTGTTCGTCTAGTTTCTAGAGGAGCGGATCAACATTGCCAAGTACTGCAGCACAGACCAGGTGCAGCTGTTTGCGACCATGCTGCAACGTTCCATGGCCATGAGCGTCGGAGTCGGACACAATCTCAAGTGCCGACACATTGCTGCCCTCGAGCCTAGGTTCAGGTATGTGTGTCATGTACGTAGTACAACCATAGGAATGTACGTAATGGTAATGGTACACAGTAGTAGTGGATCAGTGCACCATAAGTTCACGTGTGCAGTTTAATTATGCAGTAGTACAGCATAGTGATAATGTAGTTTAGAATAGTAATATAGCGCACCATAGTAGAATATGTAGGAATATGTAGGAATATGTAGGAATATGTAGAATAAAATAGTGGTGATCCAGTATGGAATAGTGATGTACTTAATAGACCATATACAATACGGTTGTATATCTAGTATTTGGTAATTGGCATTGGGTACTTAATCGTGTATTAATGCAGAATAGCTAGTACTAGACAGTTAATTGAACTTTCTGTAGGGAGAATTGATTGTGTTGTCGTGATGGCAGTTGCACGGAATATAGTGGAGACAACTTTTTTTGTTTATCAGAAATGATGTATTACAATTTAAATGCCCAATTCTTACAGGTTTAAAATAAATTCCTGATAACTGCAGATACGTTCTATAATAAAGCGGAGATGTTGGCTGCTAACGGCCATGAAAAAACGGCCATGCTAAAGGGCCATGAACGGCTAGTAGTTGGTCGGTCAGTCAAGTTAATATCAAACTTTTCTTTCAGACTGCTGTCTTGTGGGCTATCACTACTACAGAGTGACATCCTTCCTAATGGCATCAGCAAAAATGCCCTGCGAGAGAGAATATACTCTGCCACCAATGACTACTTTTGGTGAGTGTGCTAGTGAATGTACGTTCTGACTCGTTTTCGCTACATAAAAATCACATTCTATCCATATGAATTACAATCATCTAAAATTAGGTGGTTTTATGTCACTATTTGCAATTGTCGATGCAATCACGTCTGTGAACCAAGCAGTGTCTGGCATCAGAGGCTCGTCAGAAACATATTCAGTGGTTAAATATCACAAATTCATGATGGAATATCTTGCACATCATTTCACTACGAAAGTTGACATTTTAGACGTGGAATGTCAAAGCTATTTGTGATGTTTCTTGTAACGGAGTCTTTTTTCATTGGCTTCGTTTTCACTGACACGTGTCTTCGTGCATATATTCGAAACATATACAGTGGTTAAATATCACAAATCTATGATGGAATATCTTGCACATCATTTCACATCGAAAGTTGGCATTTTAGACTTGTGATGTCTTACCTGTGTGTTGTTTCTTGTAACGGGTCCCAGGCCTTTTCCATTGGCTTTGTCTTTATATGACTTAGTTATTACTGACACGTGTCTTCATGCTGACAGTCTGCCACCCATGTGCCCCACACAGACACCCGGGGCGCTGCGAGCGGCCATCTTGTGTCTGGTGCAGTTCTGGCAGACGATGCGTTCGGACAAGAAGTACCTGCGGGCAAATGTCGTAACTATGGTAACCAACATGAACATCGCAGGTACTAGTGGCACTATGAAGCAGTCGCCAGAGCCATCGATTGCAGGTGTTGTTTTTTGCATTCCATATTTTTTCGTTTCGCACGTGCGACCTTGATATTTTTACACGGTTAAACGTTGAAATTGATGGGGCTGATGGATGGGTCAGATATTATCAAATCAGCAGGCCAGTATTGGATGCTGCTAAAATGTCAAGGTTTCACATTTTGATAGTGGTTTTGATAATTATATTTGTTACAATATGCATTGTTGTTCTTCTCTTTGTTATAACGTACAAACACAACTATGGTTGAAATTAATGCTGCATGCATCTTCATTCGTCATAAACTATTAAAGCAATGCTTCCCAATGAGGGCTGGTGTGATTAAGTGACATGATATTATTATGGTATGAAGCATATCCCATTACTTGTGTTTTATATGCCTTGTATGCGTACACGCACATGCACGTGCTTGCCCTATCTGTATTCAAATATTTTCACCATTGTGGTGGCTTAGGTTTTAGTTCATGCATGAAACTGGTTTGCATGACATGCCTGCTTAGGCCTGTCATGCACGTTTCTGCATGTGTTACTAATACTTGGCATGATCAGCAACTTGCACGTTTGCACTGTTTACAAGTGTCATATTTGTTCTATGCTTGCTTGTGCCATATTTATTCTATGCTTAATTGTGCTTTGTTTGTTCTATGCTTGCTTGTGCCATATTTATGCTATGCTTAATTGTGCCTTGTTTGTTCTATGCTTGGAAATATGTTGGTTTTATGCAATGCTTTGTCTGGGAGTGTGATGGGGAAAAAGATTGTAGGTTCACTTGGGAACATGTATTCACATGAAGTTAGAAGTAATTGATAGCTTATGCCAGTGGTCTGACTGCTGTATTAAATTTATTTATGGCATTCGACAATCAGTCTAGTTACATTGAAGGCACAGTGACACTTGCACTTGGAAGCACATTTAGTTAGTAGACCACTAACACTGCCACTAATTTTCCACCTGTTTAGCACCTCAATTACATTAATAGCTCACATTAATGGTGACCTTCTGCTGTAGAGTGCACTTTCATATGTTCCATTATTTCATGATAATCAAAAAGTACATTTATTTTATAACGAATCAATCGATTTATCATTAAATAAATTGACTCTTTATGTTATCATGAAATCATTGTTTTCCGATATTACATGTCATTAAATCCAAGAGTTCCCGAATGTGTGACAAGTGAGCATCCGCGATGCACTCTGCGGTGACGCGTGTCTTGATGTCGTTGTTGTAGAGGAGGGCTTTGTTGCCGTGGTAGCGCAGAGCGCGCTGCAGGCGCTGGCACCTGACCTGCGTGCGAGTCAGGATCTGAGTGTGTCCCTGAAGCCAGGCAGTGGCTGGATGAACATCCCGCTGGCACCTAGCGAGCGATCGGGCTACTCGAAACGCTCCTCAGGTGTGTGTGTGCTCATCTCATCCCTACCCTACCTCTCCGATTCTCCAATTATATACCTCTATAAGTATAACTTATATTTATGTGTGTGTGTGTGCGTGCGTGCGTGCGTGCGTGTGTGCGTGCGTGCGTGCGTGCGTGCGTGCGTGCGTGCGTGCGTGCGTGCATATGTGTGTGTTCGTGTGTGTGTGTGTGTGTGCATGCATGCGTGCGTGCATATGTGTGTGTGCGTGCGTGTGTGCATGTGTGTAAATTTTCTTTAGATGATGTTTGTAACTATAGACTGATAGCAATACAATGTGCATCAAATTTCTGTGCTAGGTCTCCAGATATACTTTTTTAACTATGTACATTTAGAGATAATACATCTAACTGTAGACTTATAACTTCTGGACATTAATCTGTGCTTATCATCAGTCATTCACCCTACCTCTCCGATTATATACCTTCATAACTAGATAGTTAGATGCTAATTTAGGTGTTTACCATGAGTAAGATAAGATAAGATAAGATAAGATAAGATAAGAGTTTATTTTATCACTTTCAATATCAGCAAATACAAGGATTTTTTTAACAAAATATAAGTAACGTGCAGTGAAGGGATGGCGAAAAGACCATACGGTCATCTAGTCAGCCAACCCTTAGAGAAATTAATTAAGTGTAAAGGTGTCTGTCATAAGAATACGATGTATGATGAGAAATATTTGAACAAAATGTTTGTATGATAACAATAAAACAAAAGCAAAATTGAACATAATTGGAAATAGAACAAGCAGCAGACAGGAAGTTATATACAAAATATGTTGGACACATAAATATATATCATGGGCCCTGTTCATTTTAGTTGGCAGTGATAGGTAGTAGTAGCGCCCTCTAATGTGCAGCGCTGGCGATGTTTTTCAGGTCGCTCTAAGCGTGCGATTCAGCAGGACGGTGATGTGTTCGTGAAGGAATACATCAAGAAGCGCAACCTAATTCTAGCATTGGTGGTGAGCATGCTCACGTCATATATTTTACACGTTATTATACATGTTGTTACGTTATGTTACATTGCATTATGTTGCGTTATGGAACATTACATTATATTATATTTGCATACATATGTGCACCTGCATGTACCCACCATACAAGGCAGCAACCTGGCTCATAATGTCTCACTATATAGCAGCACGTTCTAGTGCAAGTGATCTTCTTAATCTCCAGAACCAGACTCAAATTTTTAGATGGCTCAGACCATGGCCTCTTTCCACCACCTCTGGCCAGTGCTGTCGTTTCCTGATTGGCTGATATCCACGGCAATAAACTGCCTTGTCTTTGGCCGTTTGCTTCAGTGCGCTTCTAATAAATAGCTCTTAGCATATATCCCTCTCTGTCTGTCTGTCTCGCTCACACCATAACAGTTAGTAAAAGTAACCAACTTTGATGACCCTTCTGTAAAGGAAATGTTTGCCATGCTGCCCCTCCAAGTTACTGTGATGCCCTAAACACCGCTTACCTTGCATTAGATCAAGAGTTAATAAACACCTATGATAAACACCTCTTGATTAGATTCACATCTTATATTAACATATTATTATCACGTATTTACCTAATTATAATCACATAATAAAATTCGACCTCTGAGTGTCATGTCTCACGTTCTCCAGAAAGCTCTTGTTTACACCGTACTTTGAAGTACTTTTTATTTATACTTTATATTATATATTATTATATTATATTATATATTATATTATATTATATATTATATTTATTTACAAGATCGTGGCGGATGTTTACAGGCGGTGGAGGTGCAGCGGCTGTGCACGTGGCACAATCCTCAGTCACTGCCTGAGCTGAACGTGCCCGAGCAGGAGAAGATATACGCGTGGCTATCGATGCCCGTCAACGAACGCGTGTGGAGAGACAATGCTCGTCTCGCCTGGGACATCTCACCGTCGCTAGCCATCCATCTGCCCATGAGGTGCGTGATGCGCGGGGGAGGTAGAGCACGGGTGTGGCTATCCACTAACGTGAGCTAAGGACAGTAGGGCTTGTTAATATGGAACTGAAGTGAAATTGTAGATTTGAGATCTTCGATAAGGCTACATTGCCACCATCTTGCTTATTACCGTATATACTCGCGTAATAACCGCAAATTTGGCCTCAGATTTCAACCCTGTATTTGCTCTGCGGTTTATAAGTGCACCATACCGCGAGGGGAAATATACTAGGCGCAATACTTGGTTACCCGATTCAAATTGAGGTGCGGCTTATAGGCGCCCACGGTTATTACGCGATCATATACGGTAGTTATAGTTGTTTATAATAGTTATTGATGTAGTCATCTTTGCCAACGTTGTTAACGGTTGTATGTTTGTCAATGTTATTGTTATTAACCATGAGTCATCATCCTGCAGTCATCATTGCAATCGTACAGCAGATCTAATCGGTGGCGTCGTGACGCGTGTTAGGTTCCGTAACTCGGACGCGCTGGTCAAGGAGGTCACCCGACTGGTGCGCTTGAACCCGGTGGAGGTCAGCCACATTGCGGCGGCGATTCGATACCTAGTGACCGCTCACAGCGTGGAGGCTGATGCACCAGAGGTGACGACTGCTGGGATAACTACGTGATAGACCGGGGGCATCAGAACGTAGCTCGGCTGATTCCAGCTCTACCGCTGTGGCCCCTTCGCTCCCGCGACAGGGGCGGTATAGTAGCAGGAGCGCAGGGGCTGCACTGGTAGAGCTGGCTGGTTCACTGCTAAATCTAAGAGTAAACTCTGCATTATTTCCTCTTCCTCCTCCTTCTCCTTCTCCTCCTCCTCCTCCTCCTCCTCCTCCTCTGCCTGTTTTCTGTATGGTTGTGTTATACTCGAGAGAATGCTTTTTAATTTTTAATTTCCAAATTATTTAAATTTGGATTTGTCTAGAAATTAAAATGATTCTATATGCTCATATTGAATCTGATGACGAGTTGTGATCCGCCGTGCGTTTAACTTAGTTTTTCTGCGTTTGATGACGTTTCGTTCACCTGTTTCAGCTGACACACGTTCTGACATGGGCGCCAGTGCCACCAGTGGCAGCGTTGTCGTATTTCTCACGCCAGTTTCCCCCGCACCCTCTCACCGCCCAGTACGGAGTCAGGGTGCTACGCACGTATCCACCGGTGAGTAGGAAAGTTATCACACACTCACAGACTATATGTGGTTTTACTTCGATAGTCAGGGTGGAGATGTGCTCCTAACATGATAGGTGCGCATAACGTCGGGTTTTCTTTATGTGTTGTGTTATTTTGTGGTAGACCAAAGTTCACAGTGGCAGTGTGTCTTAGGAATCAACATTTACAGTTGAATTTGACAAGTAGATGAAAACGATAACCAGTAATAATAGTAAGGAATTCGGATTCAGAAGTGGGAGCTATGTATGTTTACTTATTCATCCTTACATAGTGTTACAAATTTGTGCGTTGATTCTGTTTAAAAAATATGTAATTAAAACAAAAAATGTGTAAAAGTAAGTCACAAGTACGAGGTTCTCTAACAGCATATGTTTTTTTCTTTCTTCTAGGATGCAATTTTGTTCTACATTCCACAGCTGATTCAGGCTGTTAGATATGATACAGTGAGTATACCACTGCTATAATGCATCAACGTACATGTAAACCTTTACACATGGCCTTTTCACTTGAGCTTGGTTATCTTTGTAATATGTTCCGAAGTTCTACTAATGCCGCCTGACTTTACGTCACTGCCAGATGTGCAAACAGTTTGTAGACCCTTTTAATGTACAAAAAAATCAAGCATTTGAAGCTTATAATTGCAATTATGACTATAAGCAGTGTACATATGCTTCATAGCTAAAAAGTAAAGTGATTTCACGGCACATCAATCTTGCTTCTCAAGAGGCGAGTGACTAAGCAACTCGTGTATACAAACTGATGTGAATCCTTGTATGTTTGTAAACTGTATAATGATTCTTGACGGTTTATTTGCTTACAGATGGGCTACGTAACGGAGTTCATTGAATGGGCAGCTAAGAAATCTCAGCTCCTCGCCCATCAGATGATCTGGAACATGAAGACGAACATGTATCAGGACGAAGATGCAGAGCAGAAGGATCGTAAGTAAAGCGGATTCGGGGAAAACGTGTCATCGTACGAGTTTCAACGTTTTCCTGAGATCACTGTATGCGGTCCTCGCTACTGTTTACCTCCTGGCATTGTAATTCGTTGTGCTCGTAGCATTACAATTGCATTATTTCTTTCATTGTAATTGCATATGCATTCTTGACATTGAAATTTTCACACAGGGCTGGGGCCCATTTCGCTGGGGCTTACACACTTTTTTAATGCGTTCAGAACTTAAACTCAAGTGTTACTGTCACATACGTAAATGGTTTGTATATTCTTGAAATGTCTGAATGTTGAATGAGCCTTGCATTGCGATTGTGTGCGTGCGTCCGTGCGTTTGTGCGTGCGTGCGTGCGTGCATGCGTGCGTTCGTGCGTCCCTGCGTGCGCACATTTCAAACCTTATAATAACATAACATAACCTAATAATATGTTTTTCCTACTTTTATAGCCGACATCTACGATGCGTTGGATCGTATAATCAGTAACATCACCAATAACCTCTCAGGCCCAGCCAAGGCATTCTACGAACGGGAATTCGATTTCTTTGGGAAGATCACAAACATTTCGGGAGAAATAAGGTAGAGTTGGATTTTCTCATACCTAAGGTACCTCAATGTGCATAGATGTAAATTTCTACTGAGCATCATGAAGCTACATACTTTGACTTCATCTTATACAAACAAAACCAAAAATAAACAATTGTCTCTTTTAGCATCTCCTAAAGTTCTTCTCTAAAGTTCTTTCTACTGAAATTCCATGTACAATAGTAAAATTACTGGTGTACTAGTAAATTTAAATCTCACAACAACTTCACTCACTGCTAAGAGTATTGTGGTTTCAGGCCGTATCCGAAAGGACCCGAGCGCAAGGCGGCATGCCGTGCTGCCCTGAGTCTTATCAAGGTGCAACCAGGCTGCTATCTGCCATCAAATCCCGAAGCCATTGTCGTTGCCATCGACTACGAGTCGGGCATCCCGATGCAGAGGTATGAGTCGCGATTGTTGCGTGTTCTCGTAAATCACGTTGACATCTGTAGCAACTATGCTGATTTCATTCCCTGTTCGAGCAGGTATTCAATGTTAGCTTTTCAAAACGCCCATAGTCTTCACCCCTCCACCACATACATGGTCTTTGTCCTGCCCCCACGCACACAGACTTTATCCTCCCCTATGTACATAGTCTTTGACTCGCCTCCTTACATACAGTTATGGTTCCCTACCACACGCATGCTGTTGCTCCTTCCCTCCACCAACCCAGAATCATCGCTGCATCCCATGCATGCACTCACGCACACGCACGCACGCACATGCACTCACGCACACGCACGCACGCGAATGCACACGCGCACGCATTTGTGTGCGCCCACGCGCACACATTTTCCACGAGAGTGTCGGCTTGTCAGACGGGCCGTACATCCTGCTTAAACTAACACGACTGACTTGCAGTGCTGCTAAGGCTCCATTCCTCGCGAGATTTTGGGTGCAGAAGTGCAGTCTGCACGAGCTGGAGCAACGTGGCATGGCAATCACTGACGGCCGTGTCGACGATACCATCGTCGACACAGAACTTCTGCGCACGCAGGCCTGCATATTCAAGGTTGGCGACGACGTGAGGCAGGTGAGTCTTGATGCCGTACGTAGCAGCAGCAGGACACCTTCGTTAAGGCCATAATAAAAATGTTGTTTGTTTGCCCTCACCCGGGATTTTTTTTTTTTAACAAATTGTATCACTGTACATTATATAAATCTGTAGGCAATACATTATATGTACCAAGCAAAACAAACATTCAACATAAAAGGTATCTCAACACAAGCACACCCGAGCATGTAGACACCATGCTGAATTTGTAAAAAGACCATCGCCCTAAAAAAAAGCCGACCTACCTACCCAAACTTTTCAGCCTGGGTCGGGTGAGGGCAAACAAAGATTTTTTTAATTGTGGCCTAAAGTTTCTGTGGGAGAGAGATTGAAGTACAGCGTGCAGTTCAAGCGCGTGCATGTATGTTTGAATTGAATGTGTTGCTATTTTTGGTATCTCCCGTGAATACATTGTGAATGTTCATTATGATGTTGAATTGACGAAGAGACTTGTAATCGACAAGTGGTTCTGTTTCAGGATATGCTCGCGCTGCAAGTAATCGGTCTACTGAAGAACATCTTCCAGCAAGTTGGGTTGGACTTGTATCTGTTCCCGTATAGGGTAGTGGCTACAGCACCTGGTGTAAGTTACCTTCGCTCATCATCACCATCATCATCATCATCATCATCATCATCATCATCATCATCATCGTTATCGTTATTATTATTAATAGCAATATCAATATTATAATAATTATTATTTTTATTATTAATATTGTTTATTTCGTATTAACACTTGGGCAGACATTTTGTTTTTAAAACCACCAATAGTAGATATCAAGAGGTGTAATGTTTTGCTCCTTGTATTGTCGATTTTTTATTTCAATAGAAGTAGCTAGGGTAGGGGTGTTCATATTAAAAAAACTGCTATTTCATGTATTTTATAGTAAATGCCGAGTTTATGCCAGCTTCTAGTCATTTATCGATCTGTTTACATGCTACCTATAACACAGACATCTTGATTTTACAGTGTGGTGTCATAGAGTGTGTGCCAAACTCCAAATCCAGAGATCAGCTTGGGCGGCAGACGGACATAGGATTGTACGAGTATTTCCTGAAGACATACGGGGATGAAACAACACAAGCATATCAAAAGGTTTCTTTACACTTATTATCAACTGAACCTTGACTTGTTATAAACCTAGTGAGGTGAACAGTTGCTTTATAAAATCTGAGAAGTGCATTAATTGAAGTGACAACGACGAATATGTCTTTTTGTATCGAAATCATACATGTCTAGGCCTGATATTGGTGGTGACAATGTTTTCATTGTCGTTCTTTTTCCCACAGGTGCGGTACAACTTCATCCGCAGCATGGCCGCCTACAGTGTCTTCGTGTTTCTGCTGCAAGTGAAGGATCGTCACAATGGCAACATCATGGTCGACACTGCGGGCCACATCATTCACATTGGTATGCCGTTCTTTCCGCTGATTGAGATTAATTTTCGTCATGGCTCCAACACCAAGTCCTGTGTTGCCCTTCTCACTTGCTGTGGTGCTCCTGATTAAACACCCTTGGCTGTCCTATCTGTAATGCCTAAGTGCAATTCCCATAAATCTCATATTTCCCTGGTTGTTCTGCATAAAACGTGTTAAAGCTTTTATAAGCTTACGCTTAAGGAAACATTTGGCTTGGTACTCGTCTGACTTGCTACACTGCCTTAAAATATTTGATTAAACTCAAAGTAACACTCACCCTGTTGTGGGAAAAAATGAATTCGAAGCCTGTGCACCCATCGTTTGGCCCCTCGACACACACACACAAACCTACAGTGCCCACACACTAGTATTTAAGTGCCACATCTGCTATCATTTCGATTATATCAGTAGTAACAGGTATTTTCACTTGGACTTGTCTAAATTTCTAGGCAAAGGTGACTTGGGTTCAAACAAACCTAAGGGATATTGACCCAAATGTCCTTTATATTCTGTATACCGGTTCACTCCAACTGACTAGCTTTAAAAAAGCACCTTTCAGTTTTTAATAGGAATTATTTCGCACCTGGCATTAGCGCAATGACTGACAATCATGCATGTCTAGCAGAGATCAGCATGATGTGTTGTGTAGAGTGGCATCGTTTCGACACACGCGTGTTTCTCGCTGCAGATTTCGGCTTCATGTTTGAGAGCTCACCGGGTGGAAACCTCGGTTTCGAGCCGGACATCAAGCTTACCGACGAGATGGTGATGATCATGGGCGGAAAGATGGAGGCACCGCCGTTCCGCTGGTTCATGGAACTGTGTGTGCGAGCCTATCTGGCTACTAGGTAAGCCACTTACATACGCTATGCAGGGTGACAGTGGGGTATGCCACCTACATACATATACAGGGGGGCAGTGAGGTAAACCACGGACACACACTTGCAGGGGAACAATGAGGCAAGCCACCTACGTACACACGCAAGGTGAAAGCAAACGACAGTTGCTGTTTAATATTATTCTTGTTTGTAGAGGGCGCCAGCAGGTGATGACTCATGGTTTATATTCGTTAAGGAGGGGGGGGGGACAAGCCTCCCATCCTGTAATAATAGGAGAAGGCCGCAACTATTGTCAACGTGTTGATTGCATCCCAGGAAGAAATGTTCAGATCATAATGTTCGGATGTTTCACCGGGGGCAGCCCTATAGACCGAAGGTCCGATAGACCGAATATTGCAAAGGGTTAGAGTTAGGGTTAGGGTTAGGGCATATATATGGTTTATAGTAGCATCATATGATTTATAGTGGCATGGTGGATGTGCGGCATATTCACGTTCGGATACGGCATCAGTGGATGTCCGGATGCGTAGCCTGGAGGCTAGGCGACCGATTCCGGACGTGTAGCCACTGCGTATTCGAATAAACCTTCGGTCTATCGGGCCTTCGGTCTATCGGGCCTTCGGTCTATCGGACCTTCGGTCTATAGGGCTGTAACCGTTCCACCATTTGATGTCACATGTTGGATGTGCAGGTGTTTCTGTTACTCACTTGTCAAAGCTAGGTGCCCTGGTTATGTAAATAATAGAAAATCTGATCACAATAGCATTAGCAGCACCGATTCAGGTAAACATTGTTGTGCTGCAATAGTGAAAGATGTGGCTTTACTTCTGCTATTCGTCTGCTACCTCATTACATTTTGCCAAGGCTATGCAAGTAGTTATGATTTTATGCTTGTAGCATGTTCAGGCCAGTCATCTATTAAATTGTCTTTTGTTCGCTATGTATATATTTGAAGTAGCGGCTATCAGTTCTTATATCCTTGCGTGTAGAAAACGCATTCAGCGTGAATTTTCATACTGCCCAAGGAGATGATGTTTTATCGCGTATGCATCAGTTGATATGATTAATTGACCTATCTACCTGAAGTGATTAGCAAGTAATTCTAGCCTTGCCTCAGCAGCATTCTCATAGGATAATTCTTAAACTGCATCTTAGTAATAAATTGCCTCAACGGCGAGAATTTGGCATGCACACGTAAAAATACGTATAAACTTGCCTAGCACCAATAATTTAACCTAGCAACGATATCCAGGGGGCGTGGTAATCTCACCAACTTGGTTAGAGTCCTTTAATATATATTTCTATATTAAGGGACTCTAACTCAGGGGCCCGTTGTCAGAAACAAAATTAACATTTAAATTAAATAGTCTAACTTTACGATGTTTCTGTCCACACGTCCCAGACTGATAGCTGAGTTGAATCGTTGTCTCTAGCAATATATCTTTCCACGTGTGTGTTCGCAGGCCGTACCAAGAGGCAATCGTGTCGCTGGTGTCGTTGATGATGGACACCGGTCTGCCGTGTTTCCGCGGTCAGACAATAAAGCAGCTGCGGCCTCGCTTCAACCCGCGCTCGTCCGAACGCGAGGCGGCAGACTACATGATGGATATCATCCGCAAGTCGTTCCTCAACTACAGAACGCGCGCTTATGACTTGATCCAGTACTATCAGAATCAGATTCCCTGCTAAGCTATGTAGTCATATTGTGCTATATCGGTGTGAACTGGCGTGTGTGTGCGCGCGTGTTGCGTGTGCGTGCGTGCGTGCGTGTGTGCGTGCGCGTGTAG